TCACGATAATGGACGGACTGGTTGCCGATTAAGTACGACCACAGCGGACAGTGGGAAAGGTCTTCGTTTGTTAACACCTATTGAGGTTAGCATACTCCTAACTCTGTATTAACACACCTACATCCGATTATAAAATTATTATTGAAAACCAACACTCGGGTTTACTTTGTTTATTAATATCTTGCACGAGATATAATACAATATATCCAAGACAAATTAACAGTAATAAGACAAAGCAATAGTAATATGGCAAAAAGTTCACAAACTAAGAATTGGGGTTGAGACACAAAAGTAAATTTGAACAAGCAAATGTAATGTTCTGACTTTAAGACAAGACAGATTGGGTTTGCATCAAATCAAACTAAGAACCGGCCTGTTTTATTGGCTAGAAAAAAATCCCAGCATGCATTTGTGTGCTTCTGCCTATAAAAGTGGAGAGTGTTTTGCAGTCATTCCCAGAGATTGAAATCAACAAGGTCTCTCTCAAATTATTATGAATTAGTGCTAGAATAATTTTCCTGCTGAAAGATTGTCAACCAGTCTACACAGAAAGATTAATAACTCTTTACCACTTATGTACCTTTAAATTCTTCAATTTGTTATCATTAAACTCATTGTTAGATATCAAGTGTCACCACAGTTGCAAGGATTTCAAACCTGAAATCTCCACAGAATCAAGACCACTTGGCAAAATCCTCATAGAATCACGTTATGGCCGTGAAGATAAAAAACACCACCAAGTGATGATGCTAAGAATTCTGTTTTTCATAGTGCTGGGAAAGGGAATGTCAGATTATTGAAATAAAATAAGCAGTAGTAGCAGCAACAGTGCAGACAGCAGGTTATAAATAAATTATTGAGATAGAAGATAGTGTGTAATTTTATCTCAAACTTAATTGTTTTATGACCAGCAATAAAGTCTGTGAAATGGAGTCTTCAAAAGCAGCCACCCACTTGATAAAAAAAAAATAAAACAATAGATAATTAAATTAAAACTTTTGGGAACAAGTTGTAAGAGCAGATACAAAATCCAAAAGAAGGGAATAGCAACAGCAATTGCTTGTTCAAATTGCCAAGGCTTGACCAGATACTTGATCTAAAAAATTGGAAGAGCTTAAATACACTTGCAGGATTGAACCACTTTTAATTAACAAGGGTGCCAAGCCTCCTACTGCTGATTTAAAAGTATTTAGCTTCTATGTAGATCTAAAACTCTGGTCTCTCTTCTTTTTTTTTTTTTTCTTTTCAAGTTTCACTCCCCATTGATTATAATTCATCTGTAGGTGCCCCATTTTTTTGCCAGTTGATTTGAGGTATAAAACCATAAGACTTTATGGATTTAACCTCTTTCAATCCTCACTCGCTTATCTTTAATATTTTTACCAGATTGCAAACTAAGCTCATGTTGTCAACATAATTTATTTTTAAGCTGCCACACCCTGACAGCTGTGACAAAATGCTCTGCAGATTTAACACAAGTAACAACAAATCAGATATTGATTGATTGGTTTTCTATGGCTTATCAACCCTTTACAGGTTATTTAAAAGTAAAAAATATTTTTATATTGTAAGATTTTTTTTTTGAGATAATGTTTTAGTGATAGAAGCCTTACTAATTAACCCATAGCTTGGGAGGAGAGGCAGTGGATTCATACCTTTCCCAAAAGTATTTGCATGTAAGTGAATATAGCAAACCAATGGCAATTGGAACTTAGCTTTCTAATTAATAATTCTGAGCAATTATCCATTACACCTCCTGCACATACAAGCTTACAGGACCTGGTATTCCCAAGCGGTCACTCATCTAAGTACTGACCAAGCTTGACTTTGCTTAACCGGTGATTGTAGGGCAACCATTGTTTCAACATGATGTGACCATAAACCCTAAGGGCTTACTTAGAGTGAAATAAAATGAGAAATTGAGAAAGGTGTTACTAATGAGAAAGGAGAGAAAGAACAGGATTCAGGAAGACTGAAGATAGCAATTGATGTTGCATTTAAATTTTTGAAGGTTTTAAGTGACAGGGAACCATGAGGCTGGCAGAGAATTTCACAGTTAGATGTGCAACAAAAGAAACTATTAGAATAGAACTTACTGTTGCATCTAGCGATTTCAACAGTAAAAAATATGAGACCTAGTAATTAATGCAGTCGAGGTATCAAGGAGTAATGCACCTCAGAACAATTGCCATGAAAATAATTATAGAAAAAAAAAATTGACTTTCTAGAAAAGATAAACAAACAAAATAAAAATAAAATATGTGAATTTATTTAATTTTTTTTTTTTAATTCTCATATAACATTTACACCTGGTACTTTTTTGGATTGCTTTTTACTTTTTTGGATTGCTTTTTTTGGGAAGGACAGGGTTGCCCTATAGTCTTTGTAGAGGATAAATTCCAAATCCTGGAGTTCCAAATATTGTGACATATCAGCAACACGTTTGTTTGCTAGTGAATGCTGAAGAGCAGAAGATGTGGTCAGTTGGTTGATGATATTGCGTGGAAGAAGAGTATTGAAAATTTCAGCTCCATTACACTGAAAAATAAAAAGATACAAAAAATTACTTCTTCTGATCTACCTAATATCCATTGGTATTAATAACATTCTGGATAATCACTCTCTAGTGGGATCATACATAGTTGCCGAAATCTATTGCGTTTTTGCTTTACAGATGTAATAATTGCACTGCATGTCTAATGATTTTTTTACAGCATCAGGTGGCTGAGTTTTGAATTCAGAGTTGTTGTTCTCCTAGACTAGTAGGCCAACCATGGTTAGAAAGCCTTGTCTATCTTTCTATTTACTCCATAGCTGGGGTAGAGAAGATATCAGTATATAAATTTACCAAGGATGAAAGTGAATGCAACAAATTCAACTGGAATTCAAGCTTGAAAGAGATTTTTCTTCTTTTTAATCATTAAACCCCATGCAAATTGACAATACCACTAAGACACTACAGGTTATTAAGAGTAAAAAGAGACTTTAGTGAGGAGAAAGAACAATATAAGAACAGGTTTCAGAAAATAGCGATTGACAATGCATTTAAATTTTTGAAGATCTAAGTAGCAGGGAAACAAGAAACCGGAGACAATTTTGAAAAAAATAATTTTAACAATTTATATTATTACAATTAATTGGTGTTGTCCATTATCATCATTAATTTTCTGAGACTCATTTTATTTTTCTGAATTACAATAAAGGAAATAATGAGCAGTGTAATCTCACTTGTATTTTTTAATCTTTGTTTATTTGTGATTACTAATGTCTGAGATTACAGTATAGTAACTGTTCACTTTCTCTCAGTAAATTAAAGGAAGCCATATTTGACTAGTATGAAATATCACTTCAATGTAAAAAAAAGTTTTCAGTGTTAGATTTAACATCATAAAAACCTAAATTAAATAAAAAGGAACTCATTTAAAAAAAACTAAACAAAGAACAATTACAAATGTCTATACAGACCAGAGTTTCCCAACTGAGGTGATATTGCCCACTGGTGGGCAATTTCAACTGTTGGGTGGGTAATGAACAGCTGAACAGAAAATGGTGGATGATTGGAAATTTTGGTTGGCAATATAGAATTTTGAGTATTAAAAAGGTATTTCAACATATCTCCCCCCCCCACTCCAACCTGTATAAAAAAAAAAACAAGTGGTTAAATGGGAATAATTGGGTCACATTCCTAGATAAGATATAAATATCCCCACAAACAAGGATATTTTGATATTTTCTATTGTAAATAGTCAAGGGTCATTAACACTCAAATAGTTCTTCAGTATGAAGCATAGAAAAAAAATATTCACTGAATTTTTATTAGTTGCTATTCATTTTAATTTTATAATTAAGAAAAATTGTTTAATTTTTTGTCAACACTTGTAATGCTAACCCTGACCATAAAACTAAATTAAATATATAGTTTTCAATGGTCAAGTTTGCTTTTGTTTGTTCTTTAATATGGTAGTAGCAGCAGCAACTTACTCTATAAGTCAGTGTTATTTGTTATCACTGTTTGGTATTTTTTACTGCATTATAAAGTCAGTAACAAACTTTTACCAAATAATTTTGGTTTGCTTTTGAATATTTATGATACAAGTGGGCAATAGAAAATATTTCCATATGACAGTTGGGAACTCTTGATTTAGATGTTAAACTTATATAAATTTCAGTTTATAATATCATTTACAATAATTTACATTTTTTAATTTTTTTTTATTCATTTCACCCCAAGTAAGGTGATAATGCCACTAAGACTCAAGGAGTTTACTGAGAGTGAAAGAGAACCAAAAACCCAATCCTAAACAAGAAATGAGGCATAAACCTCTACTCCTGTTCAACAGACAAGGAAGAAGTGTGAACTGAGTGTTAGGTGAACCTATCTACTTTTTTTGATATGAAATTATATATATATATATATATATATATATATATATATATATATATATATATATATATCTCAAGTATGTGGTGCAGTTCAATTTACATTACATGAATCATTCATACAAAAAACAGATATAGAAGTTAATGATTTAAATCGCGAGAATACATCTTCGCAAACAAATTTAATGAAGTACAATAACCCTGAACCTGTATATGAATGTTATGATCCCTGTTTATAAATTCCAGTTGCATAAGGTCTTTTTTTGTTTTTTACAAGCTTTCGTATAATATAGATGTAATCCGAAAAATGTTTTTAGAAATGTGCTACTACCAACTGCAAGAAATTGAATTGAATTTTTAAATTTAAGATTTTGCGTTTTTGTACTAATATGGTAATAGGAGAATTCTTTTTTGTACTGGTAGGTTTTTCAGTCAATGTGGCAAGAACTAAATTGTTCAATAAATACAGGAATGTCACAGTTATTATCCGAAAGTTGCACGTCGGATCAGTTATTTTAATATATATATATATATATATATATATATATATATATATATATATATATATATATATATATATATATATATATATAACCAGTTCTAAATTTAAATTTGGCCTCTGGCCATATTACACTGAAACACTGGTTCTCATTTGATCACTGAAGTTAAGCAATATTGAGCCTGATCAGTACCTAGATGGGTGACAACTTGGGAATACCAGGTGCTAAGGAGACATGTCATATAAAGAATAAGAGGATAATTTTTACCTTAACAATAAGAGGAAGTTGGACATCTTCATCCAGCTGGGGCCATTTTTGAAGTAAAACATTCTGATCCTGCAGAAGCAATAAATAAATTATTATTTATCATCAAATTATAAAAAAAATAAGATTATAAATACTCAGATTTTGGCAAATTTTAACCTTTGAACTCGCCCCAAAACAAAACAAACAAACAAACAAAAAAAAGACATTTCTTATGACCCTGCTATTACTGTATACTCACTCAACAATTTTTATTATATTAAAAAAGGTATTTTTAGAATTTAAATGAAATACAAATGAAACTGGATTTTCCTTGAGAAAATATTATTTAATATAATATTTCTTTGATTAAAAATATATTTTAGAAGCTTGTAGTAGTTATGTTGAAGCAACAATATAAATACCTTAATTGTTTTGTTATAAGAATTACTAAGCATAAGTATGGCACAAGCATACATTAAAAGGAAGACTATATTGAGCCAATATTTACAAATTTGAAATGTTTTGACAATTTTTTTCCATGTTGATAAATTTTATGCCATCCAACTGAATCATCCATTAAATAATTTATTGAGATTTATGAAGTTTAGATTCATACAAGACAAAGCAAGAAATGTGAAAAACCCAGTAAAGACCTCACTACAGTAGGAATGGTATGTGAGAATAGCTTGTTAACTATTGCACCATCATGTGGCATCTTGTTCGGTACTTTTTGTCAATTGCTTCAAGAAATATTTTTCTTCCTTTTTTTTCTTCCACTTTTTTTTTTTTTTTACTACAGACAATAAAATAAAATCATTATTTTTATAAAGAACATAAAAAGTATTTGTGGTTGATACTGAATAAATTTGCTCAAGTATGGCACAAAGCCATGTATACAGGGCACCCAATGAAACCAGAACTCATTATTGTACAAGAAATATCCTGTTATTAAATATCTGCTGTCTTATAGATAAATATTTAATTTACATAAATTATTACAATTAGTAATAATAATTACAAGGGGGTGCTGAAAAGTTCTTGTCTTAACCCCCTTCCCAAAGTTTGACCAAATAATCAAACCTCAGAATTAGTTTTGGATGCCATTCTTAGTCAAGCTTACAAATCTTTATCTCCTTCCTTATTTTGGATTAATGAAGATTATGTTGTTGTTGTTGTTGGCACTATTGTTGGTTGTAGTAGTAGTAGTAATGATAATAATAATAATAATAATAATAATGATGATGATGATAATGTCGTATTGTAGCTACAGAATTTTTAATTATATTACTGCTTTAGTTATTTTGTTACCATCAGTCAGTTATGTGCCATGCATGATACATGCTTAGGCGATCATGTATCTTTCAATACTGACAAGGCAGATTTTTTTTCCCGCAGTAGGTTGCCATTTCTTTCTGCAGTAGACCAGTTGGCATCCAGGGCTATAGAACCAGGTCTGTTCTGTTATTTACCCATACCTGGTGGGAGGAGAAGAGGATTCATACCTTTCCCAAGGATATTAGCACGTAAGTGAATGTAATGGATTCAACTGGAATTTAAACTCAGCTCTCCGATTCCTCAATCCGAGCCACTATCCATTACTCCACCATGGCTCCTCTTTGTTACCATAGATGGTATTAATGCAATATCCACTATAATTGCTTAATTTATAGTCAATTGGCTGTCATCCATTACCATGTTGTGAATACAATCAATGTTTTCCTCAATGATGGCAGTTGCACAACATCCAGACCTTGTGTCATCTTCAAGACTCTCCCTTCCCCACCTAAATTCAGCTGCTCACTTTTGCACAGCTGAGATGTCATCCCCTAATGTAGCAAATATGTCAGCATGAATGTCCTTGGGGGCTAAACACTTTTTCTGTAGGTATTTGATTTGATTATGCCACAATGCCAAATTTTGTCTATTTTCAAGAGAAGTCACTGTTAGTTATTTCTGAAGTCTTCTTTTGAACAGTCAGATGTAAGTTTACCTGGAAAAAAACAATGCAGTTATTAATAGGAAGAGTCAAATTAATGCATACAATATTTCACAGCTTTAACATCACTCCTTCGTAATCAGCCTATGAACTTTTTAGCTCACTCTCGTACATAAGTAGGTACTGATTTAATAATTTCTGTTTGAATTTATGGGATGTTATCATTATTTACACTATTTATATTTGAACTAATGTCCTCATCTTTGTTGTTGTTATCGCATAGTTTCAACCTTTGTGCCCTCCAGCTTTAATCAGGTGTATATCAATCTGGGTAACCTACATAGAATTCTGAACTGAACTAGGTGATATCCCTAGACATGGGCAGTGGAATGAGAACAATCTACCTCTGTAAATTAAATAAAGGGTTCAGTTCAGAATTCCCTATAGGTTACCCAGGTCAATATGTGCTTGATGAAGGCTAGAGGGTACAATGGCCAAAACATTGAGATAACAACAGAGATGAAGATAATAGTCCAAATATAAATAGTGTAAATAATACACAAGTAGGGTTTCATTTTTCATTTTTGAACACTGTTCACAAACTTTACTGTGAATCCATTACTTCCCCCACCTTAGAAGAATATTAATACTTCGATGTCGATGATGCTACCAAAAAAATGAATAAATATTTAAAGTCTAAATAGTCATGAACAAGGATCAGTTTTTAAGTATTTGAAGAGGAATTTTTCTATAGTGTTAAATGATTTCTTTTTAGCAGTCATTTCTTTTTTTTTTATTAACTGGTTCATAAATAATATTGTCAGATGAGGTTGTCATGCATGGCACCAAACTTGTTCAGAAATATCTAAACTGCCAGTTGTATACAAGTGCTTTCTAAGATCAATAGTTAAAAATAGGTACCTCCACTTTTTCGTGGAAAACAGCATAGCGTAATGAAAAAGGCCACAAACTTAATAAAAATAAAATTTTATCATCAAAATGTTTATGTTATTATTAAGATGAAAGACCAGTCTTTTTGATTATTTTTTTAAATTTTTTAATCTTTTTTAACATGTTTGAAATTTTGGTAAAAATCTTGTTTTGTTTACACAGGGTGGTATAATAATAGCATTGACTTTTTTGCATTTTTTTTCTGTTGAAAATACATTGATTTAGAAATTCTTGTAAAAATCAAATAATTGTCCAATTTTAATGAAATTTTCAGGACTTATACACAAATGAATGAAATTATTTTTGAAATTGTTTTTTTTTTTAGAAAATTTTGCTTTTACATATGTTACCCACCCCCTACTTAATTTCATGAATTTTGCAAATAAACCTTTCTTTTTCCTGAATTTTTTTACTCATTAAAAGTAGGACTCTTTGGAGAATGTAAATACTTCCTAATTTTTTTTTCAAACTTGCATTATTGTAACTGAAAATCTGCTCTGAATTGAAAAATAATGAATGCAATAAAACTATGACATTATTGAACTAGAAAAGCTTTTGTTTTTGTAAATAAGTTATATTAAGGACACTATTGTCTGAAGAAATAAAATTTTTCCAATGAATAATGAATTTTTTCCATTTTTTTTTTAAAATTTTAATAATTTATAATAGCTTAAAATCATGCAAAATTCTGTATTGGGCTATTTCCTGGATGTGATGTAGTAAGTAAGTGGAAACAAAATTTGCAAATCCAAAATTGAAAAGATTAATAAATGTAGTTACATTATTCTATTTTCAAAATAATTTTTTATTTTTTACTTAATTTATTCCCTTTTTTCATCTATGGAAGGCTAAACATGATATTATTATGAAAAGGTCATAAGATCTAAGAGTTTTCTCTTTTTACAGAGAAATTAATTTAAGAAAATTTTATAGCATTTTAAAATTTCTTATTTTTGCATAAAGCATCTTCAAAAGGTAAATAAAAGTCAATAAATTATTAGATAATTGTGGAAAACATGTTCATTTGTAAAAATTACCAGGTAGTTAAAACCCAAATAAAAAAAAATGTGTTAACTTAGATTTTGTAAGTTTTATGTCAATTTTAGCCAGTCATACTAGCTTTTATCGCTTTGTCACTCAATTGCCCATCAATCATTGCTTTAGATAAACACAGCTGATCAATAACAAATGGTTGTATATTACTTTTTTATGTTATAAGTAAGTAATATTTATTTTAAATCAGATTAATTTGACTTTGAATTTTCTAATTTTACTCAAATAACATCTCAGAAATATATATATTTTTTGGAAGAGTTTTAAAATCAATAAATGTGTTTACAAATTTGTTAAAATTAAGAAAATGGCTCTTAAGAAAATTTTAAGAAATTGAAATTAAATTTGACATTCCAATCTATATAATTTCTATCTGAAATACACCAGAATATTTCACTTACTGGAAATAATAAATTTAATCCTTTAGCTTTCAATTAAAGCTAAAATGAAATCTTCAAGAATGCTTTTTCATTTTTATGAATACATTTTAAACCTTAGGTATTGAAAATTTATGCTGAAAAAGTGGAGGTACCTAGTTAAAAATGGCTTTGAGCAAATGAAGCCTAGTGAAAACCATCTTTCTTGTGTACTGGTGCTACAGAATTACAAATAAAGAACTGTACCAAATAACAGAAACTCCCTCACTTAAGGAGTTCCAACAGCAGCAACAGCTAAAATGGATATCACAGAGAGAAATAATGACATAATCAAGAGGCTGACATTCCACACTACTTCAAATAAAAGGCGAGGAAGGAAATCTCCATTAATATTGGAAAGAGTGATAACAGTTAATGGAGTTGAGAAACCTATTTTCCTGAAAAATTGTTTGAAGAGAAAGATTTTATAAATTTCAACTGTACAAGCTGCTCAGTCAATGAATGCTGAATGTTTTTCAGAAGGAAATGGCTAATATTACCATTATGTCTATTAAGTATATGGTAGACATCTTTACAAGTTTTATTTCAATGAACAAAATATTCTAAACAAACATAAAACCAAAGACATTTTCCATCTTGTAATTTAGAAACAGACTTACCCAG